GACTGTATAAATTCAACGATGGCATAATATTTCCTCTTACGTCGAATGTAACGTTGAAGAAATTCAATGAGTTCACTGTCTGGAACTTTAACGACAGAGGCTTGAACTTTTGACATAAATGTTTTCGCTGTTGAGTCCATAGAGTCTGAAGTTGCTGATATAATGATTTGGTCATAATATGAGTCATTTCCTAAACGTTCTGTTATGAGTATATGACGAATTAAATTAAATGTCTTACCTGAACCCATCTTTCCACAATAGAAATAAACGCCATTTGAACAGAACTCATAGTCCTTACTGAAAGGAAGAATGAGAGAAGAGTTAAGTTTGTCTGTAGTTTCATTCATGTCTTCATCTACGTCATGTATTAAATGCTTCATTTTATCTCCATTAAAAATGCAAGTCAGAAATATTCAGAACATAGCACCGAGTCTAACTGACAAGAGTATAAAGATATACTATGAACACGTTATGATGAAACCTACCAAAATTCAAGAAAGTCAGTATACTTATGAATATCCAAGGCACTGGGTAGAGTATGTAGGAGGTGAGAAAGCTATTGAAATCAGACAGGTTCGAAGTATTCCAGCAGGAAGAACAATATTATTGAAGAACTTTAATGTTTTGAGGTATAATGATGAAACAAAGAAGCAAGATAGTTTTCCTGTTGCTGTGTATGTGAACCTAGACACAGGAGATGACATGAAAGTTTTTAACACAAAGCTTCAAACGGTAGTGAGAGAACAACTGACTGCGGAAGGACATCCATTACCTTCAGAAGTTAGCATAGCATATAATTTTGAAACAAACTCAATAGATTTTAAAGTCATCTCTGCAAAGAAGTCAGGTTTTACATTTAATGAAGCAGATGTATATTCGAATGAAAACTTCAAAGCTATTGCATGGTTAGATAATGACGATTGCTTTAAGAAAATATTTAAATTCAGTGACTCAAAGATGTCAATAGATGACCTTCGTGGAATGTTACCATCGACGTTTACAGTTGAAGGTTCAGCAGGATTGCTTACAAGATTGTCAATTGGTGGTATTTGGTCTCGTGAGAACATTGTTATAAAATCCAGTATAAGTGAATTTGCTGAAGAATCTATATTATGTCTTTCAAACTACATGTATTCGCCGCCAAAGCATTATAGTATAACAAACTTTGTCAGTAAGTTTAACATAAGACTTGTCGAACCTTCTTCAATGAAAGATGTTGTGCTACCTAAAGATGGAAAGGATGGACTCATTATTGAGATGATTTTAATAGCATATTAAATGAGCTTGTTCTTGAAGGTCATTCATGATGAAATAACTGTTGTAGAAGATGTTAGCAATTGTTCAGACATTTTGAAGCGAATAGATGATATAAGAAAGAAGTTTATGAATGAGAATGTTTATGTTTCATTGACTTTCTCCAGTAACGAGAACTTTTATGAGATAATATTGAAGAGAGATGATTTTAATATGGTGTAAATGGTAGCTTGGGCAGCTTTAGGCGCAATGGGAACAAAAGCATTAGCATTTGGAGCAAAAGCACTTGGAGCTTATGACGCAGTAAATAAAATGAGTGGAGGAAGGTTTTCGAAGACATTAGACGCAAATAAAGGGAAGATTGGAGGCTGGGTTGCAAAGAAGTTAAGATTAAATAAAATAGGGCTCATAAATAAAGCATCCAATTTGGTTGCGACTGAGTCAGAAAATGCTTTAGGAAAGGACGATGAGTTTGCAAAACACGCAAAAGACTTTAATGACCAGATGAAAGGTGAAACAATGCATTTAAATAGAGTCGATGGAACTCTTCCTCCACCAGCAGTTCTTCCGTATGGTCCCTATGGAATGTATGGAAACCCTTACGAAAGACCATTTGACCCATTGACTGGTGGAAGTAATTGGTATCATTACGGACGAAGAAGAAAGACAGTCAAGTTGGAGACAGACGTGAAGAAAGCAACTAAAAAGAAACCAAGGAAGAGAGTTATAAAGTAATGAATTCAACGGGTGAAAAAAGAGGTGAAAAAACAGGTGAGATCTCACCACTTCACCTAAATTTATTTTTGCGCTATGTTTTCATACGTGTGAGGGTGGTGATATCATTAATTTTTAAGTTTATTTTTTATTTTAATGAAAATTTTTATTTGGATGTAAATGACAGAACAAAAGCAACTCATACAAATCGAAAAATATAACAAACATACATTTAAACATTTATTCTTCCTTCCTGAGCATAACATGTTCTTTCAAATACATCCGAGACCAGTTGACTTTTCATTGACTGTGTATAAAGATAGAAATAGTTATATCATTAAACCATATGATGACGAAGGTAAGTTATGTAAATTGTACGTTAAGAAGTTAGAGAAAGTTTATGGCTTCAAGTATGACTACAATAGGGTTAACACTGATGATGAAGATATTGAGGAAAATTTATGAGAACATTAGTGAAGTCGTTAGTGAGAACGATAGTGAGAACGTTTATTTTTTTACATTAGTGAGTTCGTTAGTGAAGTGGTTGGCGGCTTTGTAAATATTTAAGGTTAAGTTAGTGTTGTCGTTTGTGTTGTAAAATATACGTTAACGGTTTTGTAAAGTGTCAAATTCACAAGTATTGGGTAAGGTGGAACGCAGTGCCACAGTACCCAACATAACCATACTAACTATAGTGTAAATTCTGATTCAACAATTTATCCAGATGGGTATATTTCAAAAATTTTATATTATTCTTCCAATAAACCCTATCAAAAAGAATGGTATACAAATAAAATAACTTATCAAGATGGTAAACCTAAATTCACTGTTTTGGATTCATTATCAAATGCATATGTCGGAGATTCACCATCATATCCTTGGGGACAAATCGTTTCAAAAATCAAAGAATTAAACAGAAATATTAAGAATGTATATAATTTTGGACATAAATTATTTGGATTTGAAAATAAATCTATCATTTGTTATTTGGAGGAACTCAAAGAGCGTTTTATCTCGAATAGCGATGAAGTAAAGTATCTTCAAACATATGAAACAACACCTAAATTTCAGAAATCCGCTGAAGCTTTTACAGAAATGGTAAATATGATTATAAGTGAAAAATATTTGCAAACAGATCTCAGTCAAATTAAAATCAAAATCCATCGTCTAGGGGAACAATATATTCTTAAATTTTTAGAAGCATTTATAATTGCCCGCCCCAAATTTTATGCACAGGTTATAGGTTTCTTACAAAATTTTTCATTTGACCAGGAATTATACTCAAAAGCAGGAATTTCTAAACCATTAATACAAGCAATAATTAATGGCGATAAAAGATATTCGAATATTTTTGCTTTTTCAGGAAAATCGTGTGATTTAACAATCGAAGATTTTATTAATGTTTTAATTTCAGATCAAACAAATCAAAATGGTGAAGAATATTATCAAATACGTATCAGATCTATATTGGATAATAGTAAATATTCTTTCTATGAACTAGCAGTTAAATTTGAATCAATTAATATTTTAAATTCGTGTAATATAGATAATGTTACACCAATCATGAAAGCATTGATAATGTCAAGCCCAAACGAAACAATTTTCAAAATGAATGATAAATTCAATTTGCAGACTTATCAATTTACAAACCAAATCAAGTATGTTTTATCTTTTGCATACAATATCTCAGAGTTATTTTCTACATTTAGAAATCCATTACTCTCTTCGATTGTTTCAACAAATAATATTATATCAGTAATGAATTTGAATGAAAGCAAAGTTATTCGTTTAAAGATTCATTTAATCTTCCATGAGGCCCTAATTCAAAATAATGATTTTATGTACAAGAACTTTAATGTTTTGAATCAAATAAAAAACAATGACCTTCTGGAAATTTTAGCAAAAGCTTGTTTGAAAGCTGACAAAAAAATTCAAGCAGATTTTGAACAAATCATGGGTATTAAATTTACAGCGATCAAACAATTTCATGAATCCATAGAAAAAATTCCAGTTGATCGGTCTCCAATTACAATAGATGGTTGCCATATTTGTTTTGAATGCTCTAAAAATACTGATATTGAAAAACTCAAATCAATGCAATTAATTCTAATAAGCCCTGGTATTCATATCAATGTGTTAACTTATGAACAAACATTGAAGTTTTTGGAACAAATGCCAGCATTTATTCATTTGGGCCTTTCCAATATAAGTTCTGATCGATCTGTAAACTTAAATTATTTTCTACTTCAAAACGAAGATTATTCCCCTTTAAAAATTTCACATTGTATGACAAAATCGTATCCTTTGAATATTCAAAAGTATCAGATACGTTGTGGATGATTACTGTACCAAAAAACATGAAAAACATAAAATTACCCAAAGAGTTTTCAGGGAGGTTAAAATGGTACATTCAAATAACGAAAGTTGATCTCCCAGGACATCCTCTGCAAGATGAAATACAGGAAAAAATAAAGCATGATAATGAGATTGGTGATATCTTAACTTCATATCCCGGGAAATTTTATGTAAATTATAGCACAACGATAAGAAGTGATAGTTTATTCGTCAATGGAAATCCTATAGAATTTCTTATATATATTCCAAGCGAATCAGGAAATTTGGCGTTGGAGTGTAATTTAATTCACTTAGATGCTACTTTTTCATGGCCGAAATATATATTTATTTTTCCTCGTGGTAATTACTATATGCGAGGTTACCCTCTAGGGATATACATAGGGCGCAGCGAATCATCCGCTGCTTATCAACGGTGGCTTACAGCCATGAATATTGAATTTAAATCATTAAACATTATGGAGCACTTTTCAAGAATCAAATGGATGAGCGATTTAGGTACTGGAGTTTTAAAATTTTTGAATACGAATCATTTCCAAAATTATATCTGTATTAGGCACTATCTCGGAACCATGGGCAATAATACTTTACTACATGTTTTTGCTCTGATAGTATTATTATCAAAATCGGCCCAAGATTTTGAGGACAATTACAAATGTTTTGATCCATCGGTTCAGAAAATGTATGCTACAAAGAATATATCAGATGAGCAGCTGGAAAAATGGAAGCAGATATATAAAGATCAAGAGCATTTAGCAGCATACCACCGCATTCCACCTATAAGCACTAATAATAGTGCAGAGGGTAAGCATAGACACATTAACGAACTTGCAAAAAAAGCAAGAAACTTTTCTACTTTCATCAAATTCATTCTGAATGATACTATCATTAGGATTAATGAATCAATTGATCCCATTAATAAGCAAAAACGCGAGAAGAATGACTTGTTAAACGAAAAATGCATACATTGCGGATTCTCCTATAATGATATTAATACTGATAAGAATCCTTGTAAATATTGCAAGGATTTCTTTATGAATAAGAGTCATGTTCCCTCTGCAGGCATACATGTTATGAAAATAGGAGAAAACGTAGGTGAAATCATAGAATTCCCAATCGATAAAAATGTAGGTGATCAGGATGAACTCGTGGATCACAAAGAAAAGAGTTCGCCGATCGAAATATCAAAATACGCAGAATTTATTGATATTGACGATAAAAATAAAGCAGTTTTAGTCGTAAAACTGCTTTATAATCTTGAAACGTTCCAAGATGCCAAAGATTTAATCAATTCTCTGGAAAAACAATCAAAAAATTATGAATCTGCATTACAAAATAAACCAGAAATTTGGTTGGAAAAATACTTGCCTGAATTAATGAAGGAAGTAAAAGATGCGAGAGCTGCTAGAATGAGATTGAAGATAATAAAGAAGTAGAGATGATGAGTGAATAAAAACTTTGTATTAAATTTGTATATAAAAGAATTGTAAAATATAAAAATAAAGAAGTGGTTGATAGGAATTTGAAAATTCGTTGGGTGCATATAAGTTTGATAAATATATTTATGAATATTAATGTCAAATTGGGTGGTTGCATATAGTAATGAAAAATATATTAATAAAAAGTAATGTCAAATTGGTTGGTTGCATATAGTAATGAAAATAAGATTAATAAAAATTAATGTCAAATTAGGTGGATTCGTGATAGAATGCTTCTGTGTATGTGTGGCGTGAGTTAGCATCGGGTGGTTGCGTGATAGAATGCTTCTGTGTATGTGTGGCGTGAGTTAGCATCGGGTGGTTGCGTGATAGAATGCTTCTGTGTATGTGTGGCGTGAGTTAGCATCGGGTGGTTGCGTGATAGAATGCTTCTGTGTATGTGTGGCGTGAGTTAGCATCGGGTGGTTGCGTGATAGAATGCTTCTGTGTATGTGTGGCGTGAGTTAGCATCGGGTGGTTGCGTGATAGAATGCTTCTGTCTATGTGTGGCGTGAGTTAGCATCGGGTGGTTTCATCACAAATTTTAACCCATCCAAATCTTATTAATTATTAAAATTCTTTTACAATTTCTGATGTATTTTTTGAAAACATTTCATATGCAATCTTTCTCCTTTTCTTTCCTCAAATCTTCAAATATTAATAACTTTGGATATGAAATTATTTGGATCTTTTATGAATTTTAAATGTCTTTCTTAATATCAAATCGATTAAATTATTAATATTTTCTAAATTATGCCTTAAAAATCCAAATATAAAAAATCGTAAATAAAAAATATATTTTTTATTTTTATTTTGTAAATAATCCGTTTACTAAATGGGACTGTATCATGAAAGTAACAAAAATCATTATTTAACAAGATTCAAAACTGGTGCAACGAAATGCACATTGATTTTGTAGTGTAACAAAGAGAGATTTATTGTAAAAAGTACAAAATAGTATATTTATTATCGTGATTAGCGTAGAAATGTATGAATTTGGGACGGATTTCTGGTGCATTCATAACTAAAGTGATACATTGTCTGGAGCAGTTCAGATCTTTAACTTATGGCTTGTTTGGTGCTAACTCACCCAATTTAAGTGCACTAGAGGGATTTTGTCTGTAATGAGCATGCACCTTGAGTTGTTGCTTGGTCCGTGTACGAAAGATAGTAATTTAATACTATACTCGATTAAATGTGAATTTCTAATTTTGAATTTGCGTTTTTTCCTGAAAATAGTTACAATATATGAAAGAGTTGGCAAAACTAGAGGACACGTCTTTAAGGGTTTGGCTCGTGCTTCATGTTAATATGCCGAAACTAAAATAAACGTATATTGGGGGTCGAAATTGAGAGCTCATATCTTTAAGTGAAAATTGACACATTTCATATGTTTGATGAATATAAGGATGAAAAAGATGCAAAGCATGAGGATTCAAATGACTTATTGAATTCAATTAAAGACGAGAACGAAGTTTCGCAAAATGACATCGATGAATCAATTGATGAATCATCATTGAAAGACTTTGAAGAATTTCAGACTAAAATACATTCATTCTCTAACTCTCCACAGGATATTTTATACCTTTATAATAGTTTAATTCAAAATAACAATAGTGATTTAGAATTATTTCAACAAAAGTTGATTACTATTGAAGAACTTGGAATATTACCACAAATAATTAGCTCTATTCCTAACTTTGCACCTGAAATTATTGCTATATCTATTGAAATCATAAATTTATTAATTTCTACCTCAGACGATTTAATGAAATTACTTACAGAAATGAATGGCTTTCTCATGATATGCGATATCTCACTTGCAAATATAGAAAATCTGCAAATCGTCATTAATTGCATCGAATTCATTAAATTATTTATAGTTTCGCCATCAAATGACGAAATAATATACTGTACATGCGAAAATGAAGTAAATCCTAACTGTGTTTACTGTAAATTGATCAATTTTCTTGAAAATATGAAAAATCTTCTACAATCGAAAATTTACGAATCCACGAGTTCGCTACTTGTTTCTTGCTTGAATGTATATACTGAACGAAATTACGAAAGAATTCTTCAACTTTCAATTGATTTTATTTCGATTTCCATTCAACAAGAAACAACAGATGATTTCCTAGCTAAAACAGTTTCAAACATAACCAATGGACTCAAACAATTCGGAGATGAAGATGATGAAAACAAATTTACAATTATTAAATTCATTTTCGAATCAGAATTGCGAAACATTCTCTTCCAACAGGAATATTCCACTCTAAAGATACCAATTTTCAATTTAATTAGTCAATTATTCCAAGATCTGATTAATCGAAAATTCGACGAACATACAAACTCAATATATGATCTTATGAACAAATGCATAGGGACTATACCATTGGAATTCATTACAACATATTTCAACGAAAAATCAAATCCAGACTTTTTGCCTTCAATTGTTCATTTAATGACAATCATTGTTCAAGTACCAGTGACAACAAGTACATTAGATCCTGCTCTCCAAAATGACATAAGATTCAATAATTTCATTATTGACCATCTTATCAACCATGTTATGTTTCTTTTGGACTCTGGCTCACTGAAAACCAAAGAGCTTGCTATAGAATTTCTTGATTTCCTGTCAAATATTCCTACTTCTTCAATTTTGATGCATAAATTTTTATCTCAACAAGATGAAACAAGCGGACAGCTAGAATTCATTGATAACATTCATATGCTTTATGAACTTGGTGATCCTGAGATAAAAAGAAAAGTTGTTACAGTATTAAGTCGAATTCTCCAACTTACTAATAAAGAAGAAGTCATAGAGAAGATTAATAATACCTTCTGCGAAGAAGAAGATGAAGATGATGACTATTAACTTGTAGCTAAAATTTTTTTGTATATGTTTTTTTATATTGATATTAATACTTTTTTATATGATCATTATATGGGTTTTTGCATTTCTAACACTATTTTCTTATAAGATATCTTGTAAAGTAATTGCATAATCAAATTGAATTCATATAATGAATTTACTTTAAAATATACGACTAATGTGTATAGACAAGAACACATTTCATGTATATATATATATATATATTGTATTACTAAAGAATATTTCATAACGTTATAATTTTTTTCTGATTTCAAATCGAATTTAATGAAGTTATTTGACAATACGTATTTTTAATGTTTTCTGTCTAATACCATAGGGTTAGATGAATTCATTATAATATTTGATATTTATAATATAAGTTTTCAAATGATTGCCTTCTTGTTTTGGACTTCACTACAGCTATTGTGTTATTTTATATCTATGAACTAGATCAAAATTCATAAATTACTTCCGAAATCTTTGTTTTCATTATTTTTCCCACATATTTAACATAATGTTTTTTCTCCTAATGAATTTTAAAGATATAAGATATTGCAAAATGTTGATATATGAAATTTATAATTCTCAGACATACGATTATTTTTGATTCAAATGCTGTTCGGCATTAAAAGCAAAAATAATCATATATCTGAGAATTACACTTTTCCGACATTTTGGGTCGCTTCGCGCCCCTGACAAAACGTCGGAAAAGTGTAAATTTTTAATGCCTAAAAAAGGCGCTAAAAAGAATAAATTCAATGAGCTGCGAAGTATCTTTATACACGAAATCGATATATATAATGCACTTTATCAGTTAAAAACGGACAAAGAAGAAGAATTAAATGATATTTACAAAATGATCAAAACAGAATTGATTGATTCGAAGAAATATCCGCCCAATAATATTATGGGAGACATTTTAAACATTATTCCGTATAATAATCGCTATACAAAGTCATATTTATCTCTTGCCAAACTCATATCTGATGATTATCATGTGGAAGAAGTCAGACGAATTCCAATTATCTCTAACTACATGTTTTATAAAGAATATGGAATTAAATTAGACAAATCTAATGATTTTGAAAAAATTCAAACAGAAAATTTATCCATTCACACAGAAAATACAATTTACAAAGCAATTATGTATAATGACAAAGAAACATTCATCTCCTTCACAGAAAGAGGTGGATTTGATAAAGATCAAATACTAAGAAACAGCTTTTTGTATCCCATATTTTTTTCATTAAGTCCTAGACAAGGATATTCATTACTTGAATTATGTTGTTACCATGGAGCAGTTGATTGTTTCAAATTATTAAGAACAAAATTTAACTCTGAAATAACTGAAACATGTTTACAATTCTCATTTTTAGGAGGAAATCCAGAGATCATGAGTGAATGTTTGAAATCTCAAACGCCAAATAAAGAATGCATGAGATATGCAATTATTTCACACAACATTGATTTTGTTACATTCTTGATGAATGAACACAAAATAAAGATCAAATTAAGTTATTGCGGACAATATCGTAATTTTGAATCATCTTTGGTTTATTTGGATCAAATTAAAGATATTAAAAAATGTTTTATTAAATCGGCAGTTCTTAATATTCCATCTTTTTGCAAATATTTCCTTTCGCACGGTGCAAAGATCAATGCAAAAGATGAAGATGGACGGATTGCTCTTTATTTTGCAGCAGGAAATAATAGCAAAGAAACAGCCGAATTTCTCATTTCACAAGGTGCAGATATCGATGTAAAGATATAATCGAACTTCTTATTTCACATGGTATAAATGTCAGTGAAAAAGATGAATATGGATACAACGCCCTTCATAAAGCAGCAATGAATGATAGTAGAGATATAATCGAACCTCTTCTTTCGCATGGCACGAATATCAATGAAAAAACTAAATTTGGAGAAACAGCTCTTCATATTGCAGTGGAACGTGGCTATAAAGAATTTGCCGAATCTCTTCTTTCACATGGCACGAATATCAACGAAAAAAATTATAAGGGACAAACTGCTCTGCATATTGCAACACGAAATAATAGATTTGATATTGCTGAACTTCTTATTTCACATGGTGCAAATATCTATGAAAAAGATGATAAAGGACACACTGCTCTTCATTATGCTTCAGCAAATAATAGCATGGAAACAGTCAAACTTCTTATTTCACAAGGTATGGATGTCAATGAAACAGATAAATGTGGAATGACTGCTCTTCATCACACAACATATGGGAACTGTAAAGAGATAGCCGAATTTCTTATTTCACAAGGTATTACTATCAATAAAAAAGATGATACTGGAGAAACAGCTCTTCATTCAGCAGTAAGGAATAATAGTAAAGAAATAGCTGAACTTCTTCTTTCGCATGGTGTAAAAATCAACGAAAAAAATAAATATGGATACACAGCTCTTCATTTAGCAGCAGAAAATAATAGTAAAGAAACAGCTGAACTTCTTACTTCGCATGGTGCAGATATCAACAAAAGAAATGAATTTGGAGACACCCCTCTTCGTGCAGCATCCAAAAAACATTGTAACGAAACAGTCAAACTCCTCAAATCATATGGAGCAAAATGATAATGTTTCGGTATCAAGTGCCTCTCTTTTTCATCTTCTCTCCATATTTCTAAGGCACTTATTATAAACAAAAAATAAGAGAATCTTGGCACTGAGTATATAGGTAAAAACAATTTTTTATTTGCCACTTCTCAATTTTTTTTTTTTGTTTGTTTGATTTGCAAAATTTTGCAGCAGCAGCAAATATAGGAAAGCATAGTGCAACAGTTTAAACAACCATCCTATTATCAAGGCCTTACCATTTTGTTGTTTACCATATGCTGACATGATAGGTTGTTTTAATCGTTGTACATATGTTTTAATAAAAACAACTATATGTGAAAAGTTGAATTCAACCATACTTTTCACCAAATGCTGCAATACTGAAATTATAATTATGTCATATAATCATGATCTCTGAAAGATGCTATAGGAACTGAAACCATTTGACCATTATTGCATAGAAATAACGGCTTTGAATTTAATTTCAAATGATTTACTAAATTCATATTTTCAAAAAAAAAATTCTAATAATATATTTTTTATAATGAATTTTGGAATTAATGTTCTCATACATATTCTGCAACAACTATGAAGTCTGATCTAGTTCCACATATGCAATGGAGAATGGAAGATATAATAGCAACCAACAATATCACTCCCCAACCAACATAAATTGTAATTAAAAAGGCAAACATCAAATGATGAGGTTTGTTGCATCTCATATTTGGAAGATTTACCATGAATTGTTCTGTTTCCATTTGATTCATTCCTTTAGTTTTCTTAGCAATCCAATCACGATATCCTGCTGATTCATTACCTGGATAAAATCCAATTTCATGTATTTCACTACATTTAGGTTTAGTTGAATGAGAAATCTGTAAACAGATAAAAACAAATATAACTATTCTGATTATCTCATAAATAAGCAATAAAATATTCCTTATCAAAGATTCCTTTCTCATTCTACACGTGATACACTTGAATATCATAATGTAACCAATCGAGACGACTGTAAGAACCCATGTGAGGAGGATATATATGTATAATTTTTTGGCGAGATCGTTGTTGCTTGATGGAAAATCATTTTTGATGTAGGACCACCATATTCCTGATTTGATAACAGATCCAAGACTTCCAGCAATTATAAGCAACAGTCCTATTAGGAAAAGGATTAAATCACAGATCATTAAAATGAAATGATTTAAATTGTGGGAGTGGCCGATAGAAATGTGGAACCATAAACGATATCGCTCTGTTTCAAAATTTAAAAATTGAGGCACACTGAAAAGTCTACCTTTCATTGTTCTTACTTAATTTCTAAAAGGCAGCAAATTTGAAAAAAATATAAACAATCGAACACTATTGTTCGAACAATATTTTGAATTTATAAGGTTGTGGTTGAATGCGAATTGAAGCTTAATAAATTTAAAAATCCTTTATTTTATAATTTGTGATGCGTTTCAAGTTGTAAATAACGCTGTTCAAAATTTTTTTATTGTTGAAATAATGAATTTCAAGATGTTGAAACTTAAACCTGTTTACCCTTTTCTATTTGACACACTGATTGCAATTTTTCATTTCCTATATATTATTCCCGAATTTTCCAAAAAATTAAAAGATATCGAGGAATATCCCTCAATGAAGAGCCGTAAGCGAATATAGAGAAAATGTTGAATTAGTAATTAAGATAATTTTATTCTAAATTAAGTTCTTTGGCAATTTCGTTGACATCCAATTTTGATTCATCGATCTCTGGATTAAAAGGTTCAGGCTCTTGTTTTTTAACTTGATAGGAAACGTTGAATTCCTTATCTTCGTCATCGAATGTAAACAGATCCTTATTTTCTGTTTTTTCGCCTTCATTTGGATGATTATTTTGTTGCTTCTCTTCTTCGTCCATTTTTCCATCATACATAAATCCTTTGATTTCGATTTCACCTGGTTCTCCAGAATTCTTTGGTCTTGGTTTCTTTTTTGCTGGTGCTTTCTTCTTTTTAGGAGCTTCTTCTTGTGGAGCAGGATTTGGAGTATCTTTAACAACTATATCTGGTTGAACACCTTGCGGTTTGTACGATGAGATAATTTGCTGTGGATTCTTTGCATGATCACGAATCGAGCGGAATAAAATCATTACAGAGTTGTACATAGATAGCTCAAGTGATCCTTTGATTTCAAGGCCTTGACCGTAATGCTCATAAGCTGATTTAACTCTGTTGAAAACAAATTTGTCAAATTTCGGTTTATATTCTTGGAATGCAACTAATAATCCCTTAAGTTGTGTTGCCAATTCAACTTTCATTGTTTTAGCTTCTTGTAATTGATTCATTTGTGATGGAGTTAAAGGATTTATAGCTTCTAATGATGTTTGCTTAACAACGACTGCGTCAAGTTTCTTTCTCGTTGTATCAATATCTTTTTCCATTCTTTGAACGACAGCTCTTCTTGTTGAAATATCTTTAAGATCATCTGCAGCTCTGAGGTGCAAATCTGCGCATTTGTAATAAGCATTAGTAATAGCATTGAAATTTGTTACAATTCTTCCAAAATATTCTGAATAATTTTGGCATTCTTTATTAACTAAGTCCATTAAGCTCGTACATAGCATATTAAAGGCAGAACCTTGTGCTTTGATGTCATTGGCAGATGCCTCCATCTTCGAAGCAAGATGATCTATATCAGATACTGATGAAGAAAGATAATTTTTTATAAACATTATGACACTTTTTAATCAAAAAAAATTGTGTAGTTGTAAAATTGTTTACAAAAATAATCGTTTTTTTTGCTATTTCATGAGTGAAAATAGCGGAATTTTTTATTTAACAAAAGGTCCAACACGTGCGTCTAGGCCATCAACAGCAACATCAAGGAACCGACCAAAAACAGCTCCAAAATCTACAAAAATTTTTGATTTACAAACTTTAAAAGCGAAAATTGAAGAATTAGAAAAGAAAAACGCTCGGATTTCAAATAAAATTACACATTTACAAGGTGCTATGGTATCTCAACAGCAAAGAACTTTACTTTATAATGATTTCGAAATGGATTTAGAAGATGATCTAAAATCTTTAGAAAAAAGATTCACGAAATTGAATGAAATAACAAAAGAAATCAATGCTTTTGCTGATCCAACAAAAAATACATATGATTACATTCCTCCAAGAATTGAAGAAGAAAATTATCCTGAAAGAACAAAACAACGTCGCGAAAATGAAATTCTAGCACAACAAGCTCTATACAATGAAAGAAAAATAATGCTTTTAGAGATGAAGTTGAAATTAAATCACGATCGAAGAGATTTAGCATTATTACGCTCAAACTTAAACCTCTTTGAAGGAGGTGGTAATTCCATAACCAGTGATAGAGAAATTGAAGAAAATCTTAAAATCCAAATTGAGAACATTAAAATGCATCAAAATCACGAAAAAAGAAGAATTGAGCATGAAAAGAGCCCAATAATCTCTTTACATGATGCAGCAACGACAATTCAGTCTCTTTGGAGAGGATATCGTTATAGAATGCAAAATAAAGAGCAAATAGAAAAAGAACATGAAGAACTTTCTCATAGAAACTTATCGGAGCGATCCTAATATAAAATGTTTGTTATAATCTTTTATTTTCCTTAATTTTTTTTATATTTCTTTGATATTCATAATTACTCAAGGATAGGAAACGATCATTAGGATCTGTATAAATATATTTTGCTCAAAATAGAATTTTGACTTTAAACAATAAAAAAAATTAAGATAATTTTACAAAATGAAGCAATAATTTGATACCGAAAAGAATGTTTATTGGCTAATGTAATTTTCCCACATTTGTGGTCCGAAATAGTTATTTCAGCTTCTTCTTTAATTCATCAGCGGAATGTTTGAGTAATCTAAAGACAGTAGAAATAATAACAATGATATTACCGATAGATAATGCAAAAGCTGCATAGTCCGCGCCTGTACGTGGTTCATCTGTAAAGACGATTTTGTAAAATGATTCCCAGAATGAATAATAGAAGAAAACTGCGACGAGAGCAAGTGCCATAGCGAGCATCAAGATTTGAATTGGTGGTGCGTAGTTACGAAGTTGTTCTTCTGTGACTAAAAACATGAAAAATATTAAAGTGACATCCGAATTTGACATTTTTCATAGAAATTTAAAAATCCAAAATTTAAATAAGGTGCATGCTCAGATCCAATTATAATTAATATTTAGGCAATTTTACAATTATCGTTCTAATTTTTTTTTTTCGAAATGAAGAAAAAGAAATCATCAGATGATGGTTTACAGGCCATCAAAATGATTTCTTTGGTCGATGATGAAGTGCTATTAAAGGTAGACCAGAAATTTAGCTTCACAAACATTTTCGTATTTTTAGGATTTGCATTTATATTCGTTATTTTAATTGCTATATCATATATTGAACCAGACGCATTCTACAGAACAGAAATGATATTTAGAAATGTTGATAAAGATAAAAATGTTTACGAATTTAATAAAATTTACCCTGTTTATGGCAATTGGAAAGTTGAAGGTCTTCAAGCAAGCAATGAAAGTATAGAGTTATACGTTAAACTGCCATTAATTACAAATAAAAATAATCAAGTTGCATTTATCTGTATTTCTAGGTTTTATTACCTAAACAAGCCATTATACCTTAAGAGAACGCGTGTGAATAGAAGTATACAGACTCCATCAACAAAAATCACTTCAGAAATCAATTATACATTTCATATTTGGACTTTATCGAATTTCAACTATACCAGCTTCGAAATAGAGTTCAAAACTGTGAATGAAACAAATATCAATAACGCATATCTACTCTATCGCTCAAAAAATGTAAATGTTTCCTCATGGTACCAATATTTCGCTTTTTGGGTCACAGTATTCCATTTTTGTATAGTCGCCTATAATCACTACAAAGGTAACAATCTTTCTTACGAACAAAAGCTCGTTTATTTACTAGAAATAAGTATTATACTTTATAACAATCCATTATCGCTATTTAACTACTATTATCCAAGCAAATTAATAAGTAACTGCGGTCAATACGCTCACAACATATTTATTTCGATTTTATTTTTATATCTTTTTTATTCTTTCTCTTCTTGCTTTGAAATTAGTATTTATAAGAATATTTTGTATCTTGTTTGGGGATACTTCATTTATACTCTTTATTGGAACTCAAATAAGAAAAATAATTTAATATCAAAAAATATTTTTACAATTCTCGAAACATCGTCAGCAAATACTTATGTTTATGTCCAAATTGGTGCTTTTATCACTCTAGCGCTTTATATTTTTATTCTTAGCGCATTTGCTCCATTTACTTCAGTTCATAGGTTTACCAGGTACTTATTTATCAATATAATCTACATTTCATGGTATTTCGGATTTTTATATTACCAAAACAAATATTTAAATCCAGATTCTTCACTAAATTTATTTTATTTCTTTGCTCTTCTCAATACATACGGTTTTCATATATCGTACTTGCATTCAACATATGAACGATCATTCCTGGATAATTATGAACAAATACAAGACGCTCAGTCTGATAATAACTTAGATCTTCTCGTGGATGAACAAGAAGTCAACGAAGGTGACGCATAAATTATATATTGTTTGTTTTATATTATATTATAAATATTATTTATATATTTATTTTATCATTTTTTATTTTAAAGGTAATACGTTTTTTCGGAAGTTTCCTTCATATCAGTTTGTTATAGTTATTTATTTAGGAGCCATATTTTCCCCCGACATTAAGGATATTATATTCACCTATCAATATCATAATATTGGCTAGAAAAATTTTCTTCATACGACAAACTTAGTATATGTGATCTATATGTAATCGCTACTCATGAGAATATGGCTTAAATAAGTTCAAAAAAAAAGTATCTGTAAGGTGGGTGATTTTTCACCTAGCTGTAAGGATCACACTTTCGAAAGTTTTTGGTCTCAAAGTTTGTCTTGTAATAACCTGAAAAATTCATGTAGTATTGGATGATTTTTTCTAACGTTGCTTTTTACCTTTTCAATTTTGAGAGAGTTCTCAATAAACGAGGTAATTTAGAATGCTCTCTATCTCATCGTCTAATGAGCATAACAAGAAATTTTCTATAACAATTTTTACATATAATGACTAAGCCATACAATAATATCATTTATACCAATTAACATAATAAATGTCAAATATAAAACCAGAAAGAAGTATTAAAATCTCAAAATGATGAGGTATTTTAATTCTCTCTAAGTATATACTTTTCTATTTGTTGAATTATAGTCTAAAACTGATAATACAATGAAATTTTTCACAGGCGTAAGAAAATCCTCAAAATAAATGAGTTTTCTCGCATGATTCATCCAGAATATTGTTAGTATATTCATTTTAACATGACAATTTATTCATAAAAGCATGATATGCTCATAAGATTATATTGTTATTTTTGATTTAAAATTTCTATATTATTAGTTTTACACTGAGTCATAAGACATATTTCCGTGTATATAATTTGAATTTGAAAAATTATAACCTTGATATATTAAACTCAAATTATGTAATTAAGACTATTTATCATATTCTATATTATTATGTTAGAAAATATTAAGTTTTGGTTAGCTCCTTTCATGAATAGTTTAACTTTTTATTTATAATCTTAAATTCTAAAGTGATAATATGGATTTAAGGCATCATTGACTTCAAAACTATATTTCCATTATATTGATCATCGCTGAAATCGTCTTTAAATGGGTCAATCTCTTGAATATTCGAAGTATATAATGGATTATCTATCTCGCATCCAATTCCATTATTAATATCATATTTTTCTACATTTTCTTGACTAAACTGTTTTGCTGGCTTTCTTGCCTCACAAATTAGGATTACAGCAGCAATTATAATGACAATTATAACAATTGCAACTGCTACTCCAATAATGATTATTTTCTTATCTTTCTTTGGGGTCTTTGATGAATTATCAAAAAAGATATGATTATCACTTGACGGAGTATGTTTCAATGGAGATGATAATGTAAATTCGACATTTTGTGTATTTGTTTTGATTTCTTCATTAATATAGAATGTGAATAGAGCGTCTTTTGAGGTTGCAGAATTGCTATCCATTGCTTGGAAAATGAGAGAATAATTTCCTGGAGGAAGATTTTTTTCTACGGTATATACGTAACTCCAATTAGAAATCCCACCATTTGAAAGGACAATAGATGGTCTAAATGGTACAATAATATCATCAGATGGATACTTCACCAAAATAGTAAGACAACATCTAACATCTTGATCTATCACATTGCCTTCAATTAGAATTTCATCATTTGTTTTGTACCCTGTTTCATTTGCAACTGTTATTATATTAACAATAGGAGCATGGAGATTTTCATAAGTAAAATCATATACATATTTTTTTGATTCAATTCCGAATTGATCAGTTGCCCAGATCGTAATGTTATGTTTCCCATAAATGATATTATGATTGCTCAAGGTAATAGATCTTCTAAAACTTTTCTCTGTTCTGTTGCAGAATTGGGGAACCAATATTTGCACCGAAAGAATTGTCAATTTTATATGTGATATATGAGAATGTGTCATCCCAAATTGTTCCATAAATATCAAAAGCTCCATCTATAAATAATCTTTGATCAATTGACTTTATAATTTTCAATACTGGTTCGGTATTAACTAAAAATCTTTTCACAAGAACATTTGATAATTTGTTATTATCTTCGGCCCATATAGTCAAATTGTAGGAATCAACTTCATTTCCTAGATCAATGGTAAAATTCATTGTCTCTCTAAGTTTATTTTGCCTTGTTTTGAAAGATCCTACTAATTCTTTAACTTTGTTTTCTGAACCGTTTGAGTAATTATAAAATAATTGAATTATATTATCAAGCTCAAAATCTTTGACGTTTACAATAATTTCCACATTTTCTCCAGGACTATAAAGTTTCTTAAACTCATTTGCAAATGAAATTGTTGGAGGAGTATTCAAGTTATTATCGACTCCAATGAGGATACCAAATGCTTCTTGAGGTTGAAGTAAGCGATCTTTCCAACCAAGTGAAAAGGCCGTATCTATTTCATTATCGAACACAGGATATGGTCCAGTTATATTATTCCAAAATTGAATTCTGGCATCAAAAAATCTTCCATACCAAAACGTATCGATATTTTCAACACCATAACCATCGCGTACAATCATTTTTAGTTTTGTTTTTTGACCATTTTGTCCATATTGATCTTCCAATATTAAACCTCTGGTTTCTGCAAATGGATATAAATAAGCGCGATCATTGTTACCTAGTTGAATATCGCAGTATGAGGCAATAGATACATAACATGGCTCGCTTCCTAAATTCTTTGCAATAAATTCAATAAGGATCCATTTATTATCAAAAAGAGAGGTTAATCTTGTTGAGATATTAACATTATGTGATGAAGCCACGCCGTTATTGCTTCCCAATATTTGTACATCAGGATAATTATTGACATGAAAGACTGAAGCCCATCCATTAGATTTATATGAAGTTTTTTCACCACCGTATAAAATTTCGAAATTTCCAGGTAAACGATTTCCAAATGCGCTGTTGCTGACAAACTTATAGCTCAGCTCTTTGCTTGACGAGGATGATGATATCAGCTTTGGAAGTACTAGCAATGATATCATTGATTTCAATAAATAAAATTTTCGTGATTTCAATTGATATTTTATATACTTAGTTTAATATGTTTTATTGATTTTTCCATTATTATATCAAGTTAAAAATTTTTGAACAGTTTGTTTCAAATAATTTGAATTGATTATTTGGTAGCCTCTCACAATTTCGATATTGAAAACAAAATGGCAAGAGTTTATATCTGTGATTGTTCAATTTTGCTGCAAAATCACACATTATTATAATAATTTCGACTTTAGTAGTTCACCATTCTCAAAATTTAAATTCAAAAGTGGTCCATTTTTTATTAATTGGCTAAAATCTTCCGAGTTATCTATAGAAGAAAGCGTTTTTGCCCAAAAAAAGATTTTATTTGAAAAGAATTCAATAATCTTTCAAAAAGTCAGTCAAAAACGATAATTTTATATATTATTATCGTCAATAATTGACTATTTAGTTCTATTCCTGCATTTGTTCACATTAAACAAACTATTCCATCAGTTTTTTTAATGAGATTTTTATTATTGAGAATAATTATGTGTTATGGATACTTAAGGCATGAATATTAGCTGCTTTATAGAGAAATTCATATTTTCTTTCATTTTTCATATAATTAAAGCGATTTACTTAAAAATTATGGAGATTCAAAATTAAAACCATTTTTATAATGAAATTCAATCATAATAGTTGATTTAATGGCAAATTTATCAAGAATATCAAATTCTCACAAATTCATCATTCCTCATAATAAACAATTCTCATGTGATGGGTAAATTTTTACCTAATTTGACTTTAGAGAAATTCAAATATTGTATAATAGAATATATCAAATTTGAGCACTGTAATAGCAGTAATTATTGAATTTTGATATTTTTTATTGACATTTACGACTTTTGATTTCTGAGGTGGAAAAAAATTCAAAATTAAATTTTTATTTTGATTCATGGAGTCAAATTGGAGAACAATTGGTGAAAATATATCAAAATATATCGATGATGATGAGTTCTTATCTAATACAAAACCTCTACAAATGTGTAAAATCCTAAATTACGCAACATTAACGTCAAATCAATTCGCAAACTTGTTCAAAAATCTTTCTGAACATTATGGTAAAGATGACATGTTTAAGATGATGAGCCGTGCACGTACAGTCGATTTCAAGACATTCCAAGAAGTTGAAGAAGTTGAAGATACTTTCAACTCTGTTCTTGGAATTCCGACACTTTCTAAAATATTTTCATTCTACAAGAATTCACCACGAACCGAAGCTAATTCAAAACCCAATAAATTTCATGCAAGTATACTTCCCAGATCAATATCACTTGGTTGTGGTGGTTATAGAGTAATAATAAAAATTTCGGGTTTAACCACAGATGTTTATGGTGTTAGAGATGATATGGATTCAACAGAATTTTTAAAACAAATCGCACAAGCAGCGGTTTTAACAGATTTAAGTTTATCGCCACATGATTTCGTTATCAGATTATTAAATGGGAAAACAATCCTAAATAGTCATCCTTTATCAGATTATAAAATGCATGATGGAAGTGTTCTTAAACTTTATTTAAGATCTCGCGTATAAATGCCAGTCATATATTTGTATCCAAAAAAAGAAATGGATGTTAATGTTAACATCAAAATCAATGATGGAATTTTTTCATTTGTTTACCCATCTTTCGATGAAGGAAGCACATGGAAAGTTAAAGCATATCCATCAGGAGAAATCGAACACCTTGGAAAGAAGATGAGATATCTCTTCTGGGAAACACTCTTCTATCCTAATCTCAACATGGGACGAGGTTTCATCATCAAAGGCGAAGATTGTGTTGATTTCTTCCATGATAAACTCAAAATGATGAATCTCAATGATTGTGAGATATGTGACTTCATCACATACTGGTGTCCAAAACTTGTCTCTTACAAATTCGTCAAAATATGCTTCCAATTCGAAAACTTCGACGATATGTGTCCACTGACTGTCGAACCTAAACCACAAAACATAAACAGAGTCTTCTTCGCTGCTCTTCCTCTCGACTCCCCTTGTGATATTGAACCACAAGATCTTCCAAGATTCAATCGTGATGGCTTCACAGTTATCGAGTGGGGCGGAACAATTGTTTCAACTTTAAACTACTAAATGTTTCCTTTTGTAAGTAAAAAATGATCCTAAATAAAAGAAAATTGTATTACATTTCAAGTTATCTAATTAGTAATCACTAACAATTCATAGCAACTTATGTAAATTTTGCGGTGTCTAGGATTCCTTTTTGTACAGATATAGAGCAGTTTTAATTCGGTGTAAACATATTGTTATTGGAATTATCGATAATGAGTTTAAAGACCTTTAATATCTTGATGATCTCAAGCTAGGTTGAATGGGATTTTTTGGCTAATGATCACCAAATAAAAAAAATTTTTTTTAGGTTTATTGACGAGCACATGAAATGCGATATCTATGAATATGTTGGCCCTTTAAAAAAATAATACAGAAAAATTAACAATGATATACAATTTTAAAACATACAAAACATATAATATACAAATAATAAAAGTTATGCAAATTAATCATTTGAAAGTTTGTGAACTGACGCGAGGAAAACCCAAACAGCGTAAATGCCGTTTTCATGAGGGAAAACCTTAACTGACAAGCCGCTTATTATATTATCACCTTCAATACTATAAAAGTGCTGATTTTCAAGTGTTGCACAAACAATATCAATAAAATTATCCAAATCATTATCTCTCATGAAATAATAATGAACAAATGGAGCTCCAATAGCTCTTATTGCTGATGCTTCGCAATAAAAAGAAACATCATTAGAAATTGTTCCTGTTTGTAATTGATTTTCGCATGCATCAATGATTTTTTCGAGGTTTAAAGAAACGCTTCTATTCCATTTAATTTTTCGCGCCGAATATTTCTTTGCAGTGCTTCTTACAGCTTTAAATATTGCCTTTGACAATTCTTCTGTATCGCATTCAGGTTCTGCGTATTTAATCTCTATTTCCTCTTGTTGTTTTGACTTTGCTGTTCTAACTTTCTTCCAGTAAACTTGGTCGTGATAATCCGGATTGTAAACGCTAGTCAAAGGAAGATAAACGCCATCTTTGTCGATAATAGCATTTACTCTGTAAAACGGGCAATATAAATATCTTTTGTTCTTCGTCGGATCCATATAATATTTACTGCCATCGATTTCAACAAAAACATAAGCATTTTCTCCTCTTATTATATCATTGCACAAAATTATGCATGGATTATAATTCAAAGTCAATAAGTAACAAGAAAGCAAGATGCAGAGCTCTAAACTTGATCCTAAGCTATTGTCAATAATCTCTTGAGCATTGAAAACAATTCCTTGATCTTTTTGTGATACAGGAAACATTGAAACAAATCTTAAAATTGATGTCACATCTTTTTCATGTTCTGGCAAAGAAATTTTATACAAATAATCACACAAAGGAATTCCGTTACTATCAAGCATGGTGTCATCATCTTTTGTATCTTTAAACAAATTGTTTTTGTTGATGGAACAACTCATTTGTACTCTCATTAATTTATCATTGGAATTTGTCAAATTTGTCATTGGAGTATTGATTGAAAATGTTCCATTTAAGTTACATTTGTTTTCAATGATTGATGAAAGAGGGATCTCCAATTGTCCTATATAATGTGATTCTTTTTTGTTTCCTAGCTGTGGAAATTGATATTCAACATTGTCAAAAAAGTTCAATGTCAAATTTGACAAATAAAAATTCGGACATTTTGAAACATCAATTTCGAATTCGCAATCCCATCTATCAGCAACTGTTTTCATTGGTGTTGATTCGTACACTTGATCTTCGCATATCGCTATCATTGATATCCTTGGTTTCTTTCCATTTTCGCTGTAATAACCTTGAGAATTCAATTCTTTGTCGATTAAACACATTTCTGTTCTTTTTGGACAATTCATTAATGCTGAAATCCTTACGAACAATGTTTGTGGTTCTTCTGTTGCTTCTCTTTCTTGTTCGTAAGTAAACAAAGGTCTTCTTTTCATAAACAAAAAGTTCCAAATCTTTTTCAAAATTGAAAAAGGAGATTCTGATTTTATTTCAGAAACAATTTCATCATAACATATTTTGTTTTCTTCTTTCTCTTCTTTCTTCTTTTCCCTGATATCTATTGGATTCTTAAATACAATTGTCGGAGCCATTGATGCTAATAATGTATCATTTTTCTTGTTGTCTAATTTAAATCTCATCATGTCTCTGTCTTTGTTGTCATTTGGATCAGCGTTAAAAGAAAGAGCTTCAATGATTTGTGGATCATTTGGATCGCAATGTTCTTCACTAACTGCGGAACATGCAAATGTTCTTTGTCTCCCTGGAATTCCTGAAACAGAAATTTGTTTTTCTGCTTTTTGGTGGGGTTTGTTCTGTCTAATTCTCGTGATACTAGCATTAGGATTAACACATATAAATGCCGCTCCTAAGATATTTCCTTCAACAAGTTTTCCATTGGAAAGAGGAGTGTCAGAAGTGAAGTGATTTTCATAATATTTTGCTGGCTCTCCGTTGAAAACAGGAAGTGTTGTATCGCAAACTTTAAACACTCCATTCTTACTCTGTTCCCATATCTCTATATTGATGTACTTCGGAATTCTCGTTATTATGAATTTCGCCCCGAAATTAACTTGAGATGTGAAATCTGAATCCAAAGATGAGGCCATTGATATTGCTTGTTGTCCACCAACAATAATCTTGACGTAGTTGTATGTTTCCGATGCCTGATTGAGTCTCTGAACTTCAGAATTTGGTATTTTACTGTCTTCTGTTGTTTCAACTGTTGTTAATTTCGGATTCCATTCTGTATCTCCGGCATTTGGCAATCCTAATTGTTTTCTGTGCTTCATTAAGTCATTGTAAAGTTGTTTCTCCTCTAATTTTTCGCCAGAAATTAGATAATTGTATTCAATAATTTCATTTATGCGTTTTTTAAAGGTTTTCTCTTGTTTTTTCTGTAATTTAGTTTTATCTTCTTCTGAATATTTCTTGGAATACCATTTTAGAGCGATTGGAGTTTCAACAAAAGAATTTGATCTAAGTTGTTGTAAATTTTGCCAAATAACAGTTAATTGATCTTTATAAGATTGTAATTTTTGCTCTTCTTTGTCTATTTCTTCTCGACAATTAATAATATCGCTTAAAATTTCGACTTTATTATCTGGATTCTCTTTTAAAGAATGTCTAAGTATTTTAATGCGTGATTTATAAAATGCAATGAGTGATTCGTTGGAATGTTGCATATAGGCGTTGTATAATGATTCTAATTTCTTGGAATAATAAAATTGATCTGAAGATAATGCATGAACATCGTATTTTATATTTTTAATTTCAACACGAAGTATGTCGTTGACACTTACATTTGTAGGATCCCAAAAAAATGCAGGATAAAAACTTGTATGTATTTCGTCAACGGAATAATATGGTACATTTTCGATATAATCTCCTTTTTTGTATTTGTAATTCAGTTGTGGTGGAGTTTGTCTGATAAATAATGGGTCAAGCTTGAGATTTGATTGTTCATCAAGGAAAACTCTGTCTTTCGGGGTTCGTTTTAATCGATTTTTAACTCTTTGTGCATTTTCGTCTTTGACTAACATATTTGTATTAACAAACACGCCATCATCTTGGAATTGTGAACTGTTATTTAGTGGACTATCTGTCTTTAGTTCAGATGATGCTAAAGCAGTTAATAATATTTTGGATTGATCAAGTTCCTTGACATCATTTACTGCAGCTTCTGTAGAAGTCGTTAATTTTCTAAAATTCGAATCGATGAATCCATTAATCATTTCATCGTCTATTTTAAATACTTCTGTTTCTTCGTAGATTTCGGATTGATATGATGCCTTTTCTATTGTATTGACTAGTTTTTCGATTTGTTTTTCGTAATCTTCTGTCTCTGATGGCTTACAACTTTGAGATTTAATTTCATCAAGCTGTTTTGCATAATTGCGCACCTTTTCTTCTAGATCAGACATTACAGAGGAGACGCAATTTACAAAAATAAAAAATTTTCGTTAATTTTATTTTCAAAAAAAAATGATGAGGGATATTGAATGCTTTTATAAATTAGCTTAAATAATAGGAATATAATGAATTTTACAATTTAAAAATAGCTGATATTCAACATCTAGATAGTATTTCAAAGATGGATTTAGAATGTGCTTGAAGTCGTTCCTAATGTGAAAGTACATTGCGTAACATTCAACCACGAATAACAAAGATATGTGCGAGTACCCTTTCTTCTAATCTTGAAAGACATTCTTTCTCATATTGAGTACAAGCCCTTAAAAAGTACAATATGAGAGATACAATTTTCTAAGGAAAATCTTGGCTTTTGATAAAATAACCTATCAATCAAGGATTGTATTAGAACGACATTTCGATTCATCATATAACATATTTTGTTATAATTTTGGAATGGTATTGTTAAGATTACGTAGAAGAAACTTATTTAATATTTCAAATTAGTATTGGAAAAAAATTGAACAAGAAACATAGAATCAATAAAATTTGAAGCTTAATTTTATCATTTACTTAATAGGTATTAAAAATCCATTTTGCATATGATTTCAATATATCAATCGTGAGAGAATGAAACAGCTATACATTAATCAATTTATCTGTAGAAGCTATATCAATCGTGAGAGAATGAAACAGCTATACATTAATCAATTTATCTGTAGAGTTTGTTCAATTATTTTGTGATCAAACTCTGAAAATTTTTGTTACAATGGATTTCATGAATTAATAATAAGATTCCTTTTTCACTTATGTCTATTGTTGTTTCTTACTTAATACTTATTAAAAAACTTTTTGCACATGATATAACATTTATTTAGATAAAAATTAAAATTAATACAAAGTTTATTTGTATTCCAGAAATTTGGCAATTATCAGAATGCAATAAATGAAATTATATATATACATATATATGTATTCTCTTTAAATGTGCAAATCTATATTCTCTCACATTTTGAATTATATATATTGCAAAAAATCACAAGTATGAGATGAAATCATTAATAATGCATGCAATAACTGAATGCATATGATTTCAATATATCAATCGTGAGAGAATGAAACAGCTATACATTAATCAATTTATCTATGAATGTTAATATATCAAATAAAAAAAAAGATTAAGCAAAAATGTATAGAATGTTTATTTAGTATACTTTAGACGAAAACTTTGTCTAAGTGTGCGTGAAGTATGTCATCAATAATCCCTTTACCTCTTTTAATCATATCGTTAAACAATTCAACCAAATAATTTTGAAATTTATGTCTTATAAAAATGTTTTATTACTCATTATATACTTATTTGTTTGCTCAAAATAAAAAATTAGTAGTTTAAAGTTGAAACGATTGTACCACCCCATTCGATAACTGTGAAGCCATCACGATTGAATCTTGGAAGATCTTGTGGTTCAATATCACAAGGAGAGTCGAGAGGAAGAGCAGCGAAGAAGACTCTGTTTACGTTCTGTGGTTTAGGTTCGACAGTCAGTGGACACATATCGTCGAAGTTTTCGAATTGGAAGCATATTTTGACGAATTTGTAAGAGACAAGTTTTGGACACCAGTATGTGATGAAGTCACATATCTCACAATCATTGAGATTCATCATTTTGAGTTTATCATGGAAGAAATCAACACAATCTTCGCCTTTGATGATGAAACCTCGTCCCATGTTGAGATTAGGATAGAAGAGTGTTTCCCAGAAGAGATATCTCATCTTCTTTCCAAGGTGTTCGATTTCTCCTGATGGATATGCTTTAACTTTCCATGTGCTTCCTTCATCGAAAGATGGGTAAACAAATGAAAAAATTCCATCATTGATTTTGATGTTAACATTAACATCCATTTCTTTTTTTGGATACAAATATATGACTGGTTTTCCCCCGCGATTTCTTAAAGAAAGTTTAAGAACACTTCCATCATGCATTTTATAATCTGATAAAGGATGATTTTCAAAGAATTGTCTTATACCAAATACTATTTTGAAATCATTTGGTGTTAAAACCGCTGCTTGTGCGATTTGTTGTAAAAATTCTGTCGAACTCATATCATCTCTAACACCAGAAACATTTATAATGAAATGATCCATACAATTTACTTTTACTCTGTAACCACCACTACCAAGTGATATTGATTTGGGAGGTTTATTTGCAAGAGAATTGCTACCGCAACAGCATTCATCGGGTTTTGAATTAGCTTCGGTTCGTGGTGAATTCTTGTAGAATGAAAATATTTTAGAAAGTGTCGGAATTCCAAGAACAGAGTTGAAAGTATCTTCAACTTCTTCAACTTCTTGGAATGTCTTGAAATCGACTGTACGTGCACGACTCATCATCTTAAACATGTCATCTTTACCATAATGTTCAGAAAGATTTTTGAACAAGTTTGCAAATTGATTTGACGTTAATGTTGCGTAATTTAAAATTTTACACATTTGTAGAGGTTTTGTATTAGATAAGAACTCATCATCATCGATATATTTTGATATATTTTCACCAATTGCTCTCCAATTTGACTCCATGAATCAGAATAAAAATGAAATTTTGAATTTTTTTTCCACCTCAGAAATCAAAAGTCGTAGATGTAAATAAACAAAAACAAAATTCCATAATTACTGTTATAAGCAACTATCCAACTCATGTATATTCATTCTCAAATATTCAAATATTGCAACTTTAAGAATTAATTTATCCTTTCCAAATCAGTCATAAAATATCTTTCCTGTAGTATTCTCGAGTCTCTTTGTTTTGTTTTTAAACAAATATCTTTTAATCCAGTAAGGTTTAACAACTTATACCAAGATATTGATATATTACCCTGTCTAATATCAAATTGGTCAATAAATTATTTTACATTGAAGTTTTGAAGATAGTTACATGTGAATAAAACAAATACATTAAAAGCAAAGAATTAATATAAAAGAAATGAATCATAAGATATATGCTAAGGCTTGTAAAAGGATTGAATGTTGTCTTTTTCATATATTCCCCGGTGATGGTGGCAGATACAATAAAAGAGATAAGAATCAGAAACTTATACCTTTTTTAATGAATTTCATTTATGAACTGCTTTCACATACAAGTGTTTGATCGTGATTTAGTATTAATATTGTTCAATATCCATTTTCAAAAAATTCCACAAAACAGATATTGATTCATAAGTCATAACTACATTATAAAAATAAAAGTACATACTTGTGTGATAATTATTTCATAAAGAGAAACAGTATGATAGCTATTTCTTTCGTACTCTCAAAATCAAGGAGAATTTGAATTGAAATTATACAAAATCCTATCATACCAAAAATAAATCTGCTTCTAATTTAGAGAATCAGAACCGATTTGAATTATTTGATAATTTCGGTAAATTGTCAAAAAGCAGGCAAATGGATTTGAGGCAACGTAAGAAGAATGTCATTGATATGAATCCACCAGCTCTGCAAACATATATAACCCAGCTATGCGATAATATTAATCAAAATGAATCAATTCTATTCAAAGTAGCTCAAAATAATTTCCAATTTTACGTAGAATCAACATATAGGATAGCAGAAGACTCAAATGAAGCAAGCTACTTCCTTGATGAGTTATTTGTTGCAATTTCGCTTCAACAACAATCCGCAATTAATCACATTTATTTATTAAACTCCCTAATTGATGTATATCTTGGCGACAAGATTAGCAAAGCAAACAGAATGACTCGTGATTTAATAAACTTACCACCAATACCAAACCAAAAGGTCTGGGATGGTTTAGCAATTCTCCTAAATTGGATGGCTAAGACGCTACGTGCTTCAATACAACTAATACTTAAGCCACTTGCCGATTCTATGTGGAGGTGGTGCTATTCCAAAGAAATTGATCATTGCCAATCAGGTTTAATGCTTATGAAATTATTTTTAACCAACTTTCCTGGATTTCTTGAAGAACATTTCTTCCAAGTTCAAAGTATTATACGTTCTAGTATGGAGAACCCTAATGATATGATCAGAAGTGCGGCAGAATCTTCCTTAATAGCAGCCATTTCAAAACCTGAAACACGTGAACATTTCCGCGTTGTTACACTATGTGCCAGTTTGAATTTTACGTTAAGCGAAAAGAAATGGCAGGATTTCGCCGGAGCAATTAAAGCTGCGAATATAGTTGTATCGATAATCCCAGAAAATTTAGCTTGCTTTACATTTGTAAGTTTACCACTATCATTTCTGAATGAACGAGATATAGAATGTCAAGTTGCAACACTCAAAGTTTTAACATTTGCACTTCAAACAACACCTTCGCTATTTACGGCAGAGATTATCGTCAACATTCTCAATGAATTTAGAACTTTACTCAAAAAGAAATCGAATTACCGAAGAGAAATCTTATTTACTTTTGGAGACTTCTTATTACAACGAAAGCCACCATATTTTACAAAAGAAATCACGATTATACAGAAATTACGAGCTTCTCTAAGCGATCAGATCGATTGCGAACAAGCCTGTTACGCAATAATCGGAATTAATTCGGTATTAGATTTAAACGCCTCTGAATTTAACTCAATATACCAGCAACCATTAACTGATGTAATTGTTGATGGGTTAGTTAAGCTTTCCAAGAACAATCCCGATAAAAGATCATTTGTTCTAAATTCCTTCATAAGTCTGGCCAATACATTGATTCTTTCTCAAGCATCGCCACAACAGATAATTGTTTACTGCAACGGATTCGTCAAACTCGACATTCCGCCGCAATATTTTACGACCACTTTAATTTATCAATGTTTACTCTTCCTTAGTAATCCAGAATTAGCTGTGAGAACATCTGTTACATCGTTCATATCAAACTACGCTTCAAAGAAGCAATCAAACGATGTTTCAAAATTATTATTAAGTGCCGCCTGTACAGAGCCTAATTTAGACCTTAAAATGAAACTTGTTACATCATCAACCTTGGTTCCACCTTTAGATGACACTTATTTCATTCCTATCAAAACATTATTGCATGATGAATCTGCAAACATCCGAAAAGCTGCATTAGACCTATTGGCAACGCACGTAGATGACCCAAAGGTTGTGGTTATCTTCAAAGATTTCCTTTCCGAACAAGTTTCGATTTTGAAAAACGAGATATCTTTCTCAAAATCGGCCATTTACTCGATTCTCATGATTGCAACATCCCTAGAAAAGGAGAACCCCTCATTCCTGAACACGTTGTTCTCTCCTTTCTCAACATTTATTATTTTACATCTTGTAGAGATAAAAGACAAGCTACCGACCTGCGCGTTATCATTATTATCACATGTTATTGACATTTCTTCAGCCGATGTCGACGTAGCTAAACTTACAAAAGTTCATATATCTACTTCTTTGACAATCCACTCATCCAAGAAACGCCTTGATGCTGCATTAGAGCTTATTATGGCAGCCTTGAAGTATACAGACCTTAAATTTAGCATCTACCGCGAGAATTTTTATTTGGTCAGAATGTTATTTGATCTTGGCAGTTTAGGTGAGTCGGATGTTACGAGATCGAAACTTTTATCAGTTTTATCGATGATTGGCTCAGTAAGACAAGATACTTTCGAGTCAGATTTAGTCCGAAATGCAATGACAGCTTATTCTACTTCATATTTCATTTCCTTGCTCGAATCAAACAGCCCAGTCGAATGTTTGATATTCGCTTCAGCAGGAGTTTCTCTTTCCTTGTTATTTAGCATATTAAGAGACGAATCTTTTTCGGCTCTTCACGCTTCCACCATAGAAGCACTCTTAGCAGTCATAAAAGTGCAGTCTCAGTTCGGAAATCGGCTTGAAAACACTCTAATCAAGCAGATGAACGATTTATTAACTCATTGCGGCCAAAGTACCTCAAATATATTACTTTCCAACATCACAACTCTCATTGCCGTATTGGGAGATCGTTTCCGACCCTTAGTTCCTCATGTCGTAGATTTTATTTGCCAAAAATGGACCAAACTCGACAAAGGCCAGCTTATTCGTATCACAGATTGGCTTGTAAACAGTGCCCATGATGCAGCAGAGCCATTTATCCCAAGATTGGCCACAGTTTTCATAAATGGAATTATGACGTACGACGATCGCACCGTAGACTCGATTTTCTCAGTATTTATGAGCTTCTCTGAACAAGTTGCTGCCATAACCCATATAATTTACCCTCCAATGCTGTTATGGATATCTTATAACGCTAAATCTCCAATAATTAACGATGTTTTGACCAGAACCAGGTTCATCTTTGTCAACAGTGATACTTCCCAGTTCTGTGGCCAGATAATCCAATGCATGATTGACGTAATCAAGCAAGATCACATTTTACAAGACAAAATTCTTGATATTTTATGTATTGTCGCATCCCATTGCGGCATGTCATTTCTTCTTTTCTTGCCCCGTCTCAATGGTCTCTTCGATGTCTTCAGCCATCCAGTTTTGAAAGAAATAATTTTGACATTGAAAAACGGTGGCAAAATTTCTGAAGTAAAGAAACTCATGAATTTTGTTTCTCCTGATTCGAGGCAACAAGCTGTTCTCAACAGGAAGAAATCCACTATCAACAAACCCAGAGAAGCGTCATTTGTCGCAATGGCTCCAAAACAAGCGTCAGATGAAATTCAATGGTTAAATTGGTCGAATGACTTTTTCTATGGAATTGTAAAGAATTCAATTTCCAGAGCCATATCAGCATGTTACACATTATGTATGCGACATGCAGAAGTATGTCGAACCATCTATCCATTGGCCATCAGTTTGGTTTACGTGATTTCTCTTGAAGACAAATCGAACAAAGGAAACATTGTTACGATTTTTCAGTCTGTTTTCTCAGAAAACGAAGCTCCGAGATCAGTCATCAGACACTTTTTGGCAGCAATAGAGATTTTAGAGATACTTAATATCAAGACACCAATAAGTACTGAATCAATAGCGATGGCTGCTTCGAAATCAGGTGTTTTCCAACAAGCGCTCAGAGCAACAGAGAATTTGTACGAACAAGGAAATTTCGATTTGGCTGAGAAACTCATTATTTTGAATCAGTCATTGAATCTTCCTTTAGCAGCACAAGGAATTCTCAAACAGAGTCGACAGAAAGGACTAGTTGTTAAACAGGATTTGTTGTATGAAAAACTCGGAATGTGGGATGACGCATTGGAAATGGCAGAAAAGAATTTGATTTCGCATCCGAAAGACTACAATTTGTTACTAAGAAAAATCAAATGTCTTTCGCAGTTATCGAGATACGACGAGATCAGATTATACAACGCTGATTTGCTCATGAAAGCAAACGCGGACATCCATTTGTTCGATTACAGTTCTTTCATGAAAAGTTGTGAAGAATTGTCGAAGAAGAAAATTGAATACGAAAATGACGATTATTTCTGGTATTTGGCCATTTATTACGTCATCAAAAAAGAAAACTCGAAATCGATAAAAATAATTGAAGAATTACGTCAACAGAGGATTTCGAATCTTTTCCCTGTAATCCATGAAGATTATGAACGAGCAATTACTCCTTTGAGCGAAATTGATGCTTTGCAGCAACTGTACGAGATCATTGATGTTTTGAAGTTAAAGGATCTTTCGAACAGTCCATTACCAAACGAAAGAAACAAAGCGAATTCCGAAATTTCCAAAATTTTGCAAGTTTGGAAAGAAAGATTCAAATTAATGCACAAAAACCAACAGAGTTTGCATAGATATTTATATCTGGCAACAATAGCATTTGAGCCAAAGGATCTACAAGAACAATGGCTATTTTTCATCGATCTAAGTTTGTCAAACAAATCTTATTCTTTGACAAAATCTGTAATCAATTATTTGAATCAAAAAGTGACAGAAAAAGAGTCACTTTTTAGAAATAAATTATCGATTTTTGAGTGCAAGTTATCACATTGTTTAGGGGATACAGAGAGTATTAGCAGACTTCAGAACATCATGAACACGTTAAATGGCAATGATCTTTTAGAAGAATGCGCAAATACTTTAGGTATTTGGTTGTCAAAACCGGAAAAAATCAGAGAAGTTTTGAATCAAGTTTACAAAACATCAAAGAAACCGGAGACATTCGAAAAGTGGTCGAGAACTAATTTATCATTATATAAGACTACGAAAGAAATGTCTTATGTTGAAGACGCTTTAAACGGCGCAATAAGTGGTTTAATTGCAACAGAAGGAAAAACAATAAACTTGTCACTTTTGTTGTTAAGTTTATTATGTTTAGTACCTGAAGATGATGAGAAAACCATGGGAATATTCAGGGATAGAATGAAAGAGATACAACCACATAAATGGATTGACATTGTTCCACAGATAATTGCGAGATTAACAAGAGATGATACTTGTTTCCACAAAACTTTGTTTGATTTGTTGTTTTACATTGGCGAAATCCATCCAAACGCCATTGTTTATCCAATGATGGTCCAATACAAGAGCGATAATGATCTCAGGAGATCAATCGCAAAAAGAATTTTTGAGAAGCTCGAAATGAAATACAACAACATCACAAATAACATAACTGACATTGCGAATGAGATGATGCGTGTTTCTGTTTCATGGTTCGAACTCGCTTATCAATGCATCGATGAATCATCTCATGAATTCTGTCCTGATGTCAACAAACAAATGATGTTGAAATTCTTAGACCCTCTAAAGGAAATTCTTTCTAAAAAATGCGAAACATGCATGGAAAGTAAATTCTTCGCACAAAACTACAGTCATTTGAAGATTGCTTTCGGATTACTCAAAAAATACGAAGAAAACGATGATTTAGGGTCATTAAATGAAGTATGGGATCATTTTTCAACTGTTTTCAACAAATTAAGGAATGTTTGTAATGACATGAATGAACTTAAATTACAAGAGATTTCTCCTGTTTTGTTTAATCTCCATAACTCTGATTTGGCTGTTCCAGGAACATACGAATTCTCCAAACCTCTTGTTTATATAAGTTCTTTCAAAAATGTCATAAAAATCATCAATTCCAAACAAAGACCTCGAAAGATTTGTATCACAGGAAGTGATGGAAACAAGTACAAATTCCTTTTGAAAGCTCATGAAGACACAAGACTTGATGAACGTGTCATGCAGTTGTTTGATTTCATTAATACTCTTGTTGACAACTCTGTTTTGAGAATGAAGAATTTCCTTGGAATGACAACTTATAGAGTTGTTCCAATTACAGGAGAAGTTGGATTAATTGGCTGGGTAAACGATTGTGGAACATTGCATGAAGCTGTAAAAGAATCACGTCGTAAAAGAGGAATGAAAATTCAAGCGGAAATGCAATCTACAATTAATTACGCGCCAAACTATGATACCCTTAAATTGGATGATAAACTCATTGCTTTCAAGAAAGGTCTTCAAGCAACGGATGGTTTAGATGTCAGGAGAATTCTCCTTGCTTCTGCTCCTTCGACAGCAACATGGTTAACAAGAAGAACTACTTACGCATCATCTATGGCGATTATTTCAATGGCTGGATACATTCTAGGACTTGGAGACAGACACTTTTCCAATATAATGATTGGAAAAACAACTGCGAAATTGGTTCACATCGATTTTGGAGATTGTTTCGAAGTTGCTATGCATAGAGAAAGATTCCCAGAGAAAGTTCCTTTCAGATTAACAAGAATGTTAGTCAATGCTTTAGAAGTATCTAAAATTGAAGGAACATTTAGAACTTGCTGCGAAGATTCTCTTGATTTGATGCGTCAGAACGGACGTCAAATATTGTCATTGCTTGAAGCATTCATTCACGATCCTCTTCTCCAGAGACAGACGAATCATAGTGGTTCATCAAATGTTGATGACGCTGTTTCTGCAGTGAAGAGAATCTCAGACAAACTGAGTGGAAATGATTTCGAAGGAATGCAAGGAAACCTCAAAGTCAGTGACCAGGTTGAACTGCTCATTGCTCAAGCAATGGATGAAAAGAATTTGTGCCAGATGTTCAGTGGTTGGTGTCCATGGTGGTGAAAAATTTTTGTTGTTTATAGATATATATCTTTATATATACTTTATACTTTTTTATTTTTATGTTTGTATTAAAATTGTATGTGTATATTGTCTTTATAACTTTTCTTTATATAAGCTTAGATTTAAATTGCAAAATTCAGTTTTTTTTTTCTGGAGCAAATATCTCTTAAGGATGTACTTGAATGATGTTTGATTCAAAAATTTGAATTATATCAAGCGTTTTGAGAATATACTCTGTTAGTACACAATAATTCTGAAAAGATTATAGAGTTCATAAAATTATTTTAATATTTCACGTCAAAAATTAATTATTCCCCATCAAGTCTATGATCACAGTTTTTTTGGACAGAGTACATATGGTTGCACCTGGAGACCTCAAACTAGCCAAGAAGAATTCGAACTAAACATTTTATATCTTTTTTTTTGACTAAAATTCTTTCAATTTAAATAGTTATACCCAATTACAAGCATTGACTTTCTCTGAAACTTTAAAGTTCATTCGAATTTCTCTTATTTCTTATTTCGCATGATGATTTCATGTCATTTACAATTACAACAATGAAATATTTGATAATGTAATCGATATTACAGGTAATCCTTTATATTTTGGAAATTCATATCGATATAAAACTTAAGACAGATATCTGTGTGCATAAGAATCTTCTTCCAAAAGCATTATTTGAATTTTTAAGATTGACTGAAGAATTCGTGACAATAGGAACATTTATATCAATTTTTGTATGTTGATCAAATGCATGCTGTTTATGAGGAAGATTAAGCACATTAGATGCTTTTTGTTTCCCACTTTCAGTGTGGAAAATCAAATTTAATGTTTTTGCTTTATTATGATTAAAAAATGTTTCGGGCGGGGCTTGAACCCGCGACCGTCTGCTTATAAGACAGATGTGCTAACCGACTGCACCACCGAAACCTTCGAGAAAATGGCAATAAGTGATTTTAAGATAAATATTATGCACTTTTCCATCATTTGAGAATGACTTTCAAATCAATTAGGAGAGCCAGAAAGAATTTTAAGATCATTTCTAATATAACATATGAACTAATTAAAAGTTAAACAAGTTAATTAAAATAATATTTTATTCTTAAAATAAAAATTTCCCATCATATGTCGGAAATTGAATTTAAAAAAAAAGGTAGTGGGGCTTCCAGGCGCGTTGCGCCCTCTAGCCCATAAGAAATTTTTCCCAAGACCCAAGAGGAGGACCGAACCCCAGCCGACCAGCCGGTGACTTTTTTGTAGAGCACTCAAAATAGTATAACTTTGTCCGGACAAGTAAGGGTCTATCGTCGCTACAGGAAAAGTTACAGGCGTTCCAAGGAAGTATACTTTGAGAAGCCTTTTCTCCCTTTTAAAACAAGATAGGACGGTTATTTTACAAAACTGACAACACTTTGACCGAGTAGTTTTTTGTGCTGAACAAAAAGTGTCATATAAACATCTGTCAAAAACCGCTTTTTAACTTCACTTAAAATGTCACGTAAGCTACGTAAGAATATACGTAAGAGGAAGGGAGCATTGAAACATCCAATAGTAAAACTGACACCACAACAACAGTTGCAACAACAAATGATGAATGACCCCACTATGTTGCAACAAATGTCAAGCAACCATATGCTTTTAAACCGAGTTATTGGTGCACAGAGTGGAGGTTTAAGAGCGGCACTTTTAGCGAAAATGGCAGGCTATGGTGGAGCTGCAGACGGAACAGCTTATAACCCTCAATGTCAAATGAATTTGAGTTCACTCAAAAATCAAATAACAGATGTCAAAAAGTCAAACATAGACATACAGAAACAAATAAGTGAAAACGAAAAGAAACTAGAATATGACAGACACACAAAGAAACTCAATGAGTTAAACGTAGAGAAAAAGAAGAAAGAAGAACAACTGAAAGAACTAAGTACAGAGGAATATGCGAAAAAAGTGTCAGAAAAAGCAGCAGAAGTAGCAAAAATGGAACAAGATGTTATAAATTTGAAAAACCATACTACTCAATATAAAGTACTGAAAGATGAAGAGATAAAACAAAAAGCCCTGAAGACATATATGGATAGCGATGAGTATAAAAAAGAAGTTGAAGCAAATGTAAAGGCAGAAAAACTTTTACAGTTGCAAAACCAAACCGTACAGTATGAAAACTTAGCACAAGAAAGTAAAAATAACGACGCAGCCATGCAAAAGGCAATGAAAAGCGCAGAATATATAAAAGCTAATAATGACTGGTTAGATGCCCAAGCCAACGCTAAAGCAGCCCAACTTATAGGGTCAATAAGGACAAAAATACAAGCGGATGAAGACAGTTCAAATGAAGCTTTAATGAATGCTGACTTTAAGAATGCCTTCGAAGCTCTTCATAGTAAGGTGAAACTAGTGAACGACTTCTCATCTGGAAAGAAACTGAAGTCTGAAGGTTTCGACAAAGAGTTAAGAGAAGTAGCACAAAATATGACGAAAATAACAGATGCAGCAACGAGACAGGCAGTTCAAAGTGCCTATGACGCCGTTAGAGCAACTGTTGTGGAAAGTCAAGAAAAAGAGTTACAACAGACCAAAACAGACCTAGTAAATGCTTTCTTAAGAACGAAAAGTCAGGTAGGACATTATGCTGCAGATGGAACATATGTGCCAGCTGGTGGAACTTATATACCACCAAACCCTCCAAGAGAAGCACCTGCACCAGGACTACCTAAAACATTTACATCGTCACATGGACACAGACACAGGCATGCACCAAAACCAACACAACAACCAACAGTTCAAAATCCAGCACCACAACAACAACCAAAACCAACAGTTCAAAATCCTGCACAACAACCAACAGTTCAAAATCCAGCACAGCAACCAACAGTTCAAAATCCAGCACCACAACCAAAACCAGCACAACAACCACCTCCACAACCAGCACAGCAACCAACAGTTCAAAACCCTGCACAACAACAACCACAAACAGAGCAAGGACATAAAAGAAGTAGAGAAAAAGGAAACCAAGAATTCTTAAAAATGCTTAAGGAAGATTATGGTTACCCAGATACTCTTGACTTTAGTGACAGATATAAAGAAGCTATTAGAAAGTTCAAGGAAGGAAATACTGACCCGAACCTATTTAGCTTTATGGTTCAGCACCAAATGGGATATAATTTCAAACCTGGAAAATACAAGCTCGCTAAGGGATATGATTTAATAGCATATCATCCAAATGACATGACTGAATTTACTCCGAGATATTTGGTGTCAGAGATAAATGATAATTCAACTATCTTCATGAAACGCGTAAAAAATAGAGACGGAACGAAAGAAGAAAGGTTTATGAGTCCGGATGACTTAGATAGGGAACTTGTTAAAAACGGTCTCGGAATATATGAAATGCCAGCAGATGAGGTACAAGAAACTCAACAGGAAGAAGTTCAGATACAACCAGACATGGAAGAAATAGTTCAGCAACAACAGCTAGAAGAGCCTGAAGGAAACGAACAAGTCCCTCCTTTGGAAACTAACTTCACAGAACTAGATGAAGATTTGGAACAGCCGAAAAATCTTGACCCTCAACAAGTGTATGCGGAGAATATGGAATCTTTCCAAGAGTCTAAGAAAAATTCGGCTGACATAGTAGAAGAATATCGAAAAATGTTCGCCGACATACAAAAGACTCCAACATCAGATGAAAATATTCAGCATAGAATGGAAGTACTGAAAGAAAATGTACGCAAATACAATAATCCTTTTTACTTACGACCATATAACGTTCAATCTTTGGCTGAACTCGGTGAAAATAAAAGGTTAAATTTCAACAAAACATATAGAAATGAAACATTGTTTAAAGTTCATTCAGAACCTAACCAATATGGAAACAAACCTACTTTTGTTTCTGCAGACTATGGAACTACAATGAGATGGGGTCATAAAGCTAATCCGGATAGGTGGTTCATAAACTTACAACCTCAATTCCAAGAAGTTGTAGACGCAATGGAAGTGAATGGTGAACCAGATATAGCTGGTATTTTCAGCGCGGCTTTAATGCCATTGAAAGATATGAAACATGCAGATATTTTGGACCAGTATGAAATGAACATGGCTGAAGGAAATATAACACCTGACGTTCTAGAACATTTATCTCAAAGAACTACACAGAACCATAGAGATGGTATATTTGGTGAAGAGTTTAGAAAGAAAGTTAGGGAGAGAGAAGGAAGAGAACCTATTGTACATGACCTTGCAAACGAAAGTTTGCAAAATGTCATAAAAACTTACTTTGCAGACAACGAAATGAGAAGGGATGAATATTTAAGAAAACTCAAATGGACAGTACCAAATGAAATGTTAGTATTGAAAAACATGTTCCTTGACAAAATAAAACCAACTACAGAAATAAATGACGCAAGACTGAAACATTGGGTAAAAGCTTTCCCATTCACAAAAGATATTATTGGTAACATGGAAAGAAAACCAGAATGGCTACAAAAACATATATTTGGAAACGAGCTTATTCCATATGGACAAGCTCTGTTTGAAGAGCTTGAACCGGAAACTCAGGAAAGAGTCATGCAAACAATACGCGAAGACTCAAATACAAACTATGACAAAATCTTTCTAGGATATAGGTTACCTGAGATGGGCGACCAGAGCCCAAAGGCAAAAAGGACATGGGAAATTTACAACATACTAGGTGAACATGAGGCAAAGATGCAACAACTTGAAGCAGAGGGCAAGTTACCAAAAGCGACACCAAAGAAGAAGAGAAGAGTAGAACAAAGTGAAAGTAGTGAAGAAGTAACTTCATCTAGTGAAAGTAGTGGCAATGAAGGAAAAAGAAGAGTTAAAAACTCAGTCAGGAAGAAAGTAAAGCTTGGTCCGAGTGGGTTCTATTATGATATATAAATCCAACTATTCTATATTTTTACCCATATGAAATGTACGCCGCTCAGAATATAACGCCAACAGTTTTGGATGCCATGAACGGAAATGTTTCCGAATGGTATAACGAATGCGACAATGCCATTAGAAGGTCAGAAATAGTTCCTGGAACTTACGAATATACAACTGCTGTTTCTTATGGAAACGTAGGTGAGTTTGGAGAAGGTTCTTCAACAACAGTAGATATTGCTTGCGACAGGTTTCATATTATTTCTATTGACAACTCATTCTTATACGTGGAACAAGACATTGAAATAAAACCTTCTGCCAAGTTGTCTGACAAGAAAGGTTGCAATGGAATTTTCTATGTCGGATACCAATATGCTCCAGAAGTTTTCATGGGATATAAGATATATTCTAACTCTGACTTAGTTCAAACAGTAACATGGGCAAACTATGAATGGTTCGCTTTGAGAAACTCAGTACAACCACAAGCTAGAGAACAAACAGACCAGTATGCAACTATTGAGAAAATAAGAAGACTTGACCCTAACGTTCCAGGAGTTTATGTTAACCTTTCTGGACAAACTGCAGCAGCAGTAACCAAAGTAAAACTGAAACTTAGAGTTCCTTTGTCATCTTTCCTCATCTTCAGGTTTTTAAGATACTTGCCAAACTGGGCAGGAAAAATTTCTATCGAACTTACTCCAAGCAAAAATAACTTAGTCATTGCACCAACACAAGACCCATTCACTCTTACAGACGTAAAGGGAACAAATAAAACGTCATTCGCCGAATTTTGCAAAGACAAAGTTGACTTAGACTTTGGTTTCTCAAACCTCAACACTGAAGTAAACTATTATTTCAATGCTGCTGGAGATGCTTGGGACCCAGTTAAGTTCACATGCGAAAAATTTGAATGCAAGAGAATAGAAAGCAGACTTGCCGTTTATATGTTGGACCCAGATATTTCAAATGCTTTAGCTGCCAAATATATTGCAGTTCCACTTATGTTCCCTATACACCAAATATCTGTCAAAGACTTTGCAGGTGAAGTTGGAAACCAAAGTGCTGACCCAGGTGCAAGAACAGATATTGCTTTAACAACTGCAATGAAACATGCAGATACTATGTTTGTACTGTTCAGACGAACTATAAATGACTATTCTTGTTTCTACAACCCTGGTATTAAATATCATATAAACATAGATGGCAAATATTATCCAAGAGAAGAATATTCTACAGTTGAGGATATGAGGTCATACAACTTGACATTAGATGCTATGAACTTTAACAACAATTTCACAACAACCATTAACCCTGAAATGCAAAGTTCTATTATGCCATATGTGAAAGTATGGACTCATACAGGAGGTCAAAAAACTCAATATACAAATGGAGACCGTTCAAACTTTTGGCTTGGCATTTCATTTGCTGACTCAGAAGACTTTATGGGTGGTATTTCAACTGTTGGTACAGTTCAAATACAATATACTGGTGACAGAGACGGTCCAGATGAATTGAAAGCAAAGAAGTTTACAAAACCAATAGCACTTTTCACGGAAGATGCTCTTTTGAAGATTCGTTCGATGAAACCTGCTGGGGCTCCTCAGATTGGCATAACGACAGCTTCCATCGAGCAGATTTTGGCAGCAGGTCAGTAAGTTGTTCTTGAACTGACTTCTCTCCGTCAAATATTGACAGTACGCCAGTTTTGACATAATATTGTATTATAAACTTTCCTTTAGTAATATCGGTCAGTTTTGAAGTTATATTTTTGTCTGCTTCAAGAACTTTCACCATTTCAGTTATACCAACTTTCTTTGCTTTATGAAATATTTAGGTTCAGCAAAGACTGCTATTCTATAACATTTTCCATTGTTTGTGTAAAGAACTATTCTGTCAATGTATTTGTATTGTTTGTGAGTATAAACTTTGTTCTGCTTCAATTCAATAAGATATCCGAATACGTCCATCTTTTTATTCTAAGTAAAATGTCATTTCCGAAAAATAGAAGCGTAAGTGTTTCAAAAGGTTTAATGGCGGTGCAGATGTGAAGTTAAATTCACCAACTCAAACAAACAGTCAAAGTGTTATTGTCAATGTCAAAGACAGAGATGTTGAAGTGGGGAAACCATACGAAGACGAAGATGGTATAACAATTGTTCCTGTAAAAGAACCAACATATCCTGAAGTTAACAGAGACTTAAGTTCTGTTGCAGATATTCGAAACGACTACCAACAACTGAAAGACAAACTTCAAACTCAGGAGAAGATTTGTCAAGCTTTAAGTATAATGTTAAACTTGGTCGAACACAACCCTGTAAAAGTGAACTCATATGTCATTGCACCTCATGAAGTTTTGAAAGAACTATTGAAACTTTTGACAGAGGCAGACGATATAAACATCAAAGAAATAGAACCCGACATTAGTTGCTGTGGTGTTTCATATAATGTCATTGACAAGATATACGTTATGAAGGAGGTGAAACGTTGAACTTAAAATATAGTTTCCCAGACGTTATAAAAATATTTGACGACCACACATTTCATTAAAGTTTATTTGCTAAGTAAATGGCAGAAGACATAATGTTTATACTATTACGACTAAAAACCCTGAGTCATATAATTCTATAACAACAAACTTACAAAGTCCTCAAGGACGATATTGTAAACTAACCTTAAACACAATGACGACTAAAGCCTGTTTTGCTCTTTTGACACCAGAAGACTTTATTGTTGTGAATGGTAAAAAATACTCCTTTGAAGATACTTACTCAGATATACCACCAACAGGTTTGTTGACTTATTTAATACTTTAAGTACGGGTGTAACATGTGCTGCAAACTAGAGCAGGTTTCATTATGTTGGATGTCCGACTGAGTTTACTAAAACGATATGAGCTATAATACAAAACTTATTTCTGGTTTTTACTACCAACAGTTTCCTATAACAGGAAAAGGTGTCATACAAGGAATGTCTATTCCATTGACATTAAGCACACCAATCTATATATTGTTTCAAACTTAGGTTCAAAGTATTATCGAATGTCGACAGAAACTATTATGACCAAAAGATACTTTATGCGTATAAACAATACTTTCTCTGCTGGTTTGCTATTGTTCATTCGAATGCAGAATTTTCAACCTTAGTGAACTCAAACACTTTGGCAAGTATAACGTTGACATTAGTTGACGCAAACTTTGTTCCTGTAAAACTTTTATGTCCTATGTATTGTCAATGACGGCAGAAAGTTTCGAATT